AACACGAGACCGTCCTGACCTGCAAGGACATAAGGGGACAGTGATTGTCAGTGGTTTGGGAAGGTCAGCATACTTCCTGCCCAGAAACTCCACCCAGCTTGGGCTGGGGTCAGGGGGTCATTGATCTTGTTGAGCCACCAGAAGGGCCAGCAGGGCGAGGGTAGCTAGGTTCTTAAATACCCTTGGGAAGGTCCTCGAGAACTAGTCTCAGCCCGTCCTGGCATCTCCCCTCACCACATGCATGTTTTTCCATTCGAATTCCAGACGGATGACGGATGAACGAAAGCCAGCCTGCTGGAGCTAATGGCAGGCATCTCCAGTCTCAGGCCATTCCTAGGCCAGTGAGAACGTTGTCCCATGTTGGGTCAGGAAGGCCAAGTCCCTCAGGACTGATGTGGCTCTAAAGGATCCCTGTCCCTGTCCCCTAACCTGCCAAGGGCAGGTACACAGGCTGGCAGTGGCCTAAGGCTGAACAGTGGTATACTGCAGCTTTGTCTTGCTAGAGCCACATATGCTGAGGCTGAGTGGGCTGACAGAGAGCAGCACTGGGTACTCAGAAGCCAGGGACCTCTCTGCCTACCCTCCCCTATCAACAGAGCCTGAGATACTTCCATGATCTCTGTCCAGCCCAGGGGTCACCTTCTGGGGATGTTCCTTCCCTTCCTACCCATCTTTTTTTCGCCTGCAGTGCTCTCAGACTACACAGAATGGCTGGCCATTTGTATCTTTCAAGTATTACAGTCACCTCACTAGCTGTCCTGATGCTAGGCCATTTTTCTATTCAGTCCTCTCAGCTAAGAGACTAGGTGCTTAAGGGGCACTGGAGCTCTGCAGAAGGGGACATGGGAGAGGATATTTGGTCAGATGCTAAACACCGATGCTTTCTTGCAGGGTTCTAGCAAAGACACTGCCCAGAAGCTGTGCTGGTGGGGCTTACGTCTGCCCAGGTGGCCATGAGCCGGGAACATAGCTACTTTGGCTGGCCAACAGGGACACAGTGGTCCTTCCACAGCTTCTGGCAACTTGCAGCATAATTGGAAGTCCAGATCCTGTGTCTCACTCCATAACTATGCATCAGTGCGAGATTCAAAGGCACCACAGGTGTCCAGGGTGGCGCCCCGTGCATTGGTGCTCAGTGGTGGCTACTGTGTGCCAAGAACTCGTATAGGGCTGGGAACCTGAACAGGGTTGGATCTGGGCCCTGATGGATGAATCAACATGCACATACAGCCAGAAATACAGACATAGATCATGTCTGTCTGAGCTGAAGGCCTCTGAGAGGGGCCCAGAAGCATGGGGGACAGAAGACACTGGTGGTTATCCTCCCCAAACCCACCCTGTGTCTGCCCTCATTGAGAGACAGAGATAGGGAGGGTTCATTGGTCTGGACCTATGCATTGCCAAGGCCCCCTACTTTGACTTCTTCTATTCTCCCCTGTAGGTAAAAAGATACTTTGCCACAGAGGATGGATAGCGAGGGCAGGCCTGAGCTGAGGGACTGGGTACACTGGGGGAAGACAGGAGATTGAGGCAAGATGCATGAGGTTCAAGAAACTACATGGGTGTATGGAGACCCTAGGATACCTGTCTCTTTACACCTCTCAGGCCTTTTAAAGAGTCCACAGCCAGAACTCTTTGTTCTTATCAAAAGCCATAGAAGGGGGCATTGGAGTGGCTGTGATCTCCCAATATGGCACAGCTAGAGAGAATTCTGTGAGCCCCTGCCAGCCTTCTCAAGAATAGGGATACAGCCCCGAGTACCCCTTGTTCTGCCTAATCTAGGCCTCAAGAAGGGATAGCAGACTAGAAAGCCAGATGGGGCTGAGTGGGAGCTGAGATCCTCTGTGTGTCTGGTGCACGGGCTCTTCCCTGTATATAAGGGCCACAAGGTACTAACACACAGGTGCAGACACCAAGTGTGGACACTGTACAGAAGAGCAACTGAGAGCCCCAGAGGGGACAAAGGTTAGCTCCTAATGGCCCAGACCTGCTCTTCCCAGTTGGTGCTAACAGGAAGGAAATGAAAGCACAGAAACAATGCTCAGGTTAAGACCCATAGAGAGCCAGGCGTGGTGGTGCACGCCTTTATTCCCAGCACTTGGGAGGCAGAGACAGGCAGGCTAAGTTAGAGGTCAGTCTGGTTTACATACCCAGTTCCACATCAGGTAGAGCCACACAGTGAGACTGTGAGACTGAGAGAGGGGGAGGGGGAGGCAGACAGACAGACACAGGCAGACACAGACAGAGAGATCCATGGAGAGAGCTAAAGAAGGCCTGGTACCAAGCAGCTCACAGGGATGAAAGCAGACATCCAAGAAACGGATAAAACCCTGATATTTACAGTGTCAGGTATCCTAGGAGAGACTGCTGACAGGGGACTGGATTGCAATTTATCAGAGAGCCTCTGGGGAAGTATATCTAGGTCTTCCTTCTGCTTGATTTCAATCCACTATTTCTAATGTGTTTGTCTTGCTGCTTTGAACTTTCAGTGATGTTCCCCCAGGTTATCTTGAAAGTAATGTGTCAACTGAGCACATGAAACACAAATAAACTTTGGCTGTTGCTTTGCTTGCCTCCTGCCTCAGAGCCAAGAGCATCGAACAGGTAGGACATTCATTGAATGGAGGCTTGACAGAGGTTTCAGAGGTTGATAGTACCTAAATTAAAGGTGCATGGGAGCTGGATGTGTAGGATAGGTAAGGGGACATTTCTCTGACCTCTTCAGGGTTCCTCTGCAAATATTGGGTGTGGAAAATCATGGATGGGACTCACAGAACACATGTGAGGGTCTGGGATTAGGGTCATGTGGCTAGAGCTTTCCTGGGTACCCAGACTCACTGCCTCCCAGACCTGGCTTCCTTTCCAGAAACCTTTCTTTCAGTCCTTTGCAAGGAAGCACCCATGCCCCTGCTGTCTTAGCTTTGATCTCCATTTCACTGACAAGCTAAAGTGTCTTCATTTCTGTCCACACAAGCTAGGCCCCCAGGACCGGCAACAGCTTGGGAGTCTTGTGGCTCTGGGTACAGATCAGCAGAGGCTGATAGTGCTGTCTAGGAATCATACAGGATGGCCAGTTCTTGTCACGTCCACAGAATTCTCAACTCTGTCCAGGCATGACAGCAGGTGAAGATGCTGGCCCAGAAGTAGTAAAGGAAGGCCCTCACTCCACTCCCTGGTTTCCACGTGACATGTCTCTGGCAATGTCCCCATGATAACCGCAGAGCTAAAAGAGAAGGGTTCTGGGGCCTTTTTGGCATTGTCTAGAAGGGGCTCACACAGACTTGGCTGTGGAGTCTGAGGGAGGAAACTACACTTGGTTTGCACTTGCTCTGAAGGAACTGGTCAGGTAGAATAACATAGGCTGGACCCATGTCGAAAGTGTTCCCCGTAATGGTTGTTCAGGTGATGCTTGCTCAAAGGCCTGTGGCTATTCTCCTTAACTACTAGGACCTGCAGGACCTCCCTTGTTCTAGTCCTGCCCTCTGCCTATTGCTGATACCTGACCCCAGCTTTGATCCGGCTGGGGAAGAGTGTTATTGGCCATGTGACCTTTCCAGAAACTTCTGGACCTTCATGAAGACCCATGGCCTATTCCCACTCAAGTATTGCCTTTTATGCTGTGTCTGACTGGCTTAGGACAAGATGGCCAGACCTCCAAGTACTGCCTAGTACTCCAAAGGACACAGAAGATATCAGGGTTACGACTATGGAGGAAGTACCAGACATGGCATGCCTGTCTTAACTACAACCAGAACTTCAAGGGCCAGAGACACAAGATGACAACCGCAGTGAGGCCTGACTGCTGCCCTGACTGGACAGGACCAGGAAGCAGCAGCCCTGCAAGGTCGGCCTTATCCACCAGCAGCCAGACCTTTCTTGTCCCCACTGTGATCTACTCAGGATGACCAGTAGGGGGCAGCAGACACCTCGGGACTCACAGCACTACAAGACCTGCTAGAACAATGATCTCTGCATGTGGAAATGACACCTGAGAGGGGTACCAGAACAAGCACCACAGTGCAGACCAGGCTCCTCTATTTGCAGATCTCCAAAACCTTCATGGCCTCACAGCTACTCATTTGAGGATCATGTTGCTCCCAGGTTTTGCTTGTTTTAAATCAGGCTATAGGGCAGCAATGGCCAGAGATGACTGAGCTGTCTTGGGCAACCACTGAGGGCATGTAGGCTGTGGGTGTAATTTCAACATCAAGGCCACCTGCCTCAGGGGTGCATGGCCATGTACCATATGCCATGCTGCCCGGACACAAGAGTGGTGATCGGCAACTCTTCCCAGGCTGTTACGTCAAGCTGGATGAGTCTGGTTTGGGGCGTGGGGCAGGGGTAGGGGGGCATTCTTGGGATTCCATTTATCTGTGTGTATGGGGGAAGGGTCAGCCTTCTCCAGGGGATGTGGCTTCAGGGAGCAACTGTGGCCCATTCTTGACCTGGCAGACACTGGGCTGACAGAGCTAGAGCTGCCCCTGAGGCCCAGGCCTCCCCTATGGCACTTTGGTTCCAGTTCCTCTGCTCGTTGCTGATGGGAAGAAGATGGTACCTTACTGGGCACCAAATCCTGGGGGCAGGTCACGGGGATGCTGAGACCCTCCTTGACATACGTGGACCCTGTACTTCTGGGGATAATGCTGGGGACAAGCAGGGCCCAGCACAGCGAAGACTGAACCTAGGCTAGTTCTCAGGTGCCGAATGTCAGTCTCCTCCTAAAATGCACAGAATTATCCTTCACCCATGAAACTTCTTGGGTTCCCAGAGACACCAACTATTGGAGCCTTTTCCAAAATGCCACCATTTCTGTTCCTGTGTCCCCCCCCCCCTTTTGTGCAGTCTGTTCTAGGATGGACCACCTTTAGTGGGCTGCATGGGCTAGGGCAAGATGTCTAGCTTCACTAATAGATGGGTGTTTCTTCCCCACATGGGGAGGCCTCCTGAGGAATGAGGCCTGCCAGCCACAATGTGCAGCACCCAGAGCACACACTCAGAGCTATCGGGTAACAGGCTCCTTCCTTGATTTACTCACAGATGAAAACATTAAAACATCAGCAGATCAACTCGGGATAATTCATAAGGCACTCTGTGCAGCAGCAATGGGCTGAAGTGGGAGAGATGAGCACACACTCAACCAGGCCTAGGAGTGCCTTTGCTGACAGGGCTGTATCACAACATGAGGGTGCCATGAACAGGTTTCTGGACATGGTACTCAGGACTTGACCTAGCTGGTCACGTGAGTACTGGGTCTTCGATGCCGTGGTCAGGGTTGCAGGTGAAAGCAATGGTGATGGCGTAGCGGGTCCCCCAGAGGACTTTCTCCACCCGGTGCAGGTTCTCGGAGCCTGAGGTAAAGAATGAGACTCGACCTGGAGATAGAGAGAAGAGAGAGGTGACCACTAAGCCACATTTGCAGGATGAACACAGCAATAAATACAGCAGCGCTGGACAAGATGGAGAAACCCTAACGAGGAGCGAGAGAACCAAACCAGCAGCGCTGGGTGCGTAACAGGGACACAGGGCACCCCCCGTCTTCCTGGCTACAGGGAAGACTCTCTGTGGTGGAGAGGGCAGAGGCTTGCTGGTCTGACAGGTGAGAAATAAAAAGTAATAGCAGAGGCCAGAGAGATGGTTCAGCAGTTCAGAGTGCTGGCTGCTCTTCCAGAGCCTTCTGAGTTTGATTGACAGCATCCACGTGGCAGCCACAGATGGCTGTAACTCCGGCTCCATGGAATCTGACGCCCTTTCTGACCTCCATAGGCACCATACACAGTTTACTGACATACATGCTGACAGAACATCCATACACGTGAAACAGAAATAAAATTTTAAAATAAAAGAATCAGTCATGGAGGACGATAACAATGGCCTGGCAATCCAAAGGCGCATGTCAATAGATGACCTGTGAAGACAAACAGCCCTGCCCTGCAGCTTCAGGGCCGCTCCCAGCTACATCCCCTGGTCTTCGGAGTCCTTCCAAACCTCGATTCCAGGAGAATGTGTACTTATTTCAACATCTAACTGGCCCGTATGTACTTTTACTGTAAGTGCTTCCTGCTCAGCGCTGCACTCAGCTTTGTGAACGTCTAAGGAACCCTGGGCTTCAGAGGGTGCAGCATCTAACACGCAGCTGGGCTCAAATGCTCCATGACAGTGTTGTTCCCCTTCTGGCCACCACATTTCTTCCTACTGGGACTTGCCTCTGACCCTTCAAAAGGGGGAAAAGTCCATCTGACCTGCATTGTATCCTGTGGGGAGGCTTACACAACCCCAGGGAGAGCAGAGCAGAGAAACCAAGTGTGAAGAGCCTTGGGCCCTTCCTTCTTCCTGCACCCAAGAGGTACTGGGTATGAAAGACCAGGCTTTCCAGGGTGAGGGGAGGCACCACTTTTTGAGCTAATGTGTTTTTAAAGAACATTTAGTCCTTCTTTGTCAATTAACCCTGAGATATAGAAACAAGTAGCCTAACCTAGTGCACAGCAGGGCCCCATGGAGGGGCATCTGAGATCCTCAGCCCCCAGTGCACAGCAGGGCTCCATGGAGGGAGCATCTGAGATTATCAGCCCCTTTGGCTGTCTGCCCTCCCTGCTCCTTAATGACAGGCACACTTCTGTGTGGCAGCGTTGAGTAAGAGTGGGGTCCTCACAGGTCCGACATGCCTGTACATCTTACACACAGCCAATGTATGGAGGACAGCGGTGGATCCTGAGCTTGGGACAACAGGAAACCATATGCTAACTATCAGGTTTAGATGAGAATCACATCAGGATTTTAAAAAAAAAGACTAAAAGAATCAATGATCAAACATCGCCCCTATGGGATGCATATAAATGAATATTACTGCACACCACAATCAAGCTGATAAAACAAGATTACTGAAAACCTTGAAAACAGCAGAAAAAACAACATATACAAGAAACAGCAGCCGGCTTCTCCTCAGGAGCAGTAGGAACTAAAATTTTAAAAAATGGTATTTTGCTCAGGAGTCCTACACCTTTAACTTTTTAGCTTGGGAGGCAGATGGGTAGGTATCTGTGAGTTCTAGCCCAGCCAAGGCTACATAGTGAGACCTTAACTTTAAAAAAAAAAAAGAAAAATGAAAAACATATTTTAACACATTTGTTCCCACCCTCTCCGTCTCTCTCATGCTTCTTGTAATGATAAGTAAGGATACCCCATTTCTCAGAACAGGGGATTGTATAGCACCCACAATCCATGGGAAGTGCTGTCTGATGGCCACCTACTTCCTTAGAGCAGGAATTAACTTGGCAATGGAAAAACCTGTAGCGGCATATTTTCCTGCAAGTTGGGAGGAGCTAAGGTGGAGGAGTAAGGAGAGGAAGAGGAGAAGGAAGTGGAGGAGCTAGGGGAGAAAGTACCAGAGAGAGGGGAACATGGAAGCGGATGTGCTCGTGTCTCCAGCAGTCACAGGTAGTTGATATATCTAGGTTGGGTATTGGGTTACACCTCTGATTGTGTGGGCATCTTGTTATTGAACATTACCAAACATATAAAGCCTTTGGATAATCTAAGCATTAGAGTCTCATTTCTACCGGCTCGCATGGATGGAGGGATGGACTGGGCTCAGCCCAGCCTGTGGAGACAGCATGGAAGATTGGCAGAGCCATCTCCCATGCTGGTGTCTTATGGGTGGTAGGGTCAGTGTCTCTGGCCGCCCGAGTAGGCGGCCTGAGCCGAGCAGTGGCGGTGTATTCTAAGGCCTAGGCTAGTTGGAAAGATGGAGGCTGATTAAGAACAAGCCAGATTGGGTGCACAGATTTAAAATATTACTGCAACAGAAACCAAACTACAAAGTGACCTAGGTTTCTAGAATCCTGCGTGTTTTTCCTCATGTGATCATAGCCTCTGGGTGACAGGTGACACCAAAGCCTTGATGGCTTTCAATCCATAAAGTGTTTGCGACCTCTAACAGGTGACCAAACCCCTAACCTAGGTTGCAGCATGAGATCTGGCTGCTATGTGTGTGCCTGTGCTTTCTTCATTCCCCATTGCCTGTTAGTCAGTTACATGCTGTTAGTCAGTCACAGCAAATGCCATTGCAAGGAACTGCTGGACCCACAGTCCAAAAGGACGCCCTGACTCACCCTGTATGAATGCCCTTGCTCCTTGGATGGAGCTGTCAGTAAGCAGAGGGTTACAACAGGACCACTTAACTTGTGAGGGTGACACTGTAGCAGACAGGGAGAACATGATACATAGGACATGCTAGTGCAACGGTCAGTGTGTATGTCTCTGTATGTCAGCTGGGTCTTGGCCAAGGGCAGAGACTACATCTCAGGAAGATGGGCAACCCATTCCTGCACTTTCCCACATAGCGAGAATTCCCGAGTCACCAAGGCCGTCACCAGTCTACAGGGATCTGGACTCAGCTTCCACCTCCTACTCAGACCTAGGCTCAGTTTCTACCTCTCCATCAGGACCTAGGTTCAGGCTTTATCCTCTACTAAGACCCAGACTCAGGCTCCACCTCCTGACTAGGAGCTGGGCTCAGACTCTGCTTTTTACTGGGACCTGGGCTCAGGCTCAGAGGTTAGGCAGGAAGGGATGTTTATCTGCTTCCTTAGAGAGAACCATGCAGCAGGGTGCTGGAGAATCTGGGTCTTCAGGCCACCAAGGATATGAGCTCTGGGGCAGGCCCCACAGTGCTATGTAGGACATGATAGAATGTGAAACACCATCTCTACACTGGACCTATCACTTAATCTTATCTTTATTGTGATTTTGTGGAGTTAGGGATCTCAGGGCCTCATGTGCACTAGATAAGCTCCCTAGCCAGCATCCACTCAACCTTAAGTTGCCAGGTCCCTTCAAAAGAGGAGCACGCAGTAGAGTCTAGTGAGACCCTGCACACCGATGTGGTACCCCTAGGAGCCTAGCTCTGCCAGTCACCTGCAGTGATACTGGGCAACTGAGTGACAAAGCTGGCCCCTGGGTGTCATGACCAGCAGACTTAGACAAACCCAGACCCAAGCCCAAAAGATATTGAGTAAGTGTTCTGCAAATGTAGTATTGACTAGAATAAAGCCCACCTCACCCACAGCAGGTAGAGGTGTGTGTGTGTGTGTGTGTGTGTGTGTGTGTGTGTATGTGTGTGTGTGTATACATGCTTGTGAACATGTTTAAATGTCATGAAGCTGAACTACAGGCCTGTATCCATACCCTAGGCAACTCATTAGCCTGTGTCTTACCGGCTCTGGGCTCCACTGTCTTGTTGGACCCTTCCTCCATGAACACAAAGCGCCCTCCACCAAAGTCCTCTAAGTAATCCGACAGGTAAAGCAGCGAAGTGTAGTCAAAAGACCCGTAGGTCACCTGTGGGATGGAGCATAAGGGAGTGGGGGGGTCAGACTTCTCAATTCTTATGGGGAATGAGGCTCCTCTTTTTAAAAAAAAAAAAAAGAAAAGAAAAGAAAGAAATTATATTATTACTTATGTGTATGTGTCTGTGTCCATGTATGCTATGTGTGTTAAGGTACCCGAGGAGGCCAGAAGAAGGTAACAGATCCCTTGGAGCTTGAGTTATAGGTTGTTGTGAACCGTCCAATGTGGATCCCTCTACAAGACCAGCAAGTGTTCTTAGCCTTCGAACCATCTCTCCATGCCCAGGAATGAGGCTTTGAACCCAGTTATGCTCCAACAAAGCTACATGAAGGGGTGGTGAATAGAAACTAGTGCAAACTGGCTCCTCCCTTGGCCATATAGCAAGTGAACAGTGTACTGTCTATAGAGAAAAGCATGTCAATTGTGGTCAGCTGTGGAACTGTCCCAAACTTTCTGTAAATTAAGATAAAATATACATAATAGGAAGTCTACTTTCAACCATGTTTGCAAGCACTATCAGCAGCACTGAGCACACACGCTGCTGTACAGCCATTCTTACCTTCTGTGCTGGCCACTGCATCTTCCCAAACTGGTCCCTGGCACCCATGATTCTAGGTTCTCTTTGGGGATGTGGCATCTCTGGGAACGTCATGGAGGATCAGACAGTTGTCGGTGTGTGATGAGCATGCTCACTGGGTGCAGGGACAAGCTCGCTTGTGCTCATCCATGCTTCAGACCCTCACATTCCTGGAACACCCAAAGCTCACCTTGGGGGGCCATGATAGGGGTCATGAGGAGGAAATAGCAGGGGCGGAGGAAAGCCTGCTCCCTCACTCACTGATGTTGGGCTCCAGTTCAAGTATGATGAGTTGATGTTTCCTGAGGCCTTGTAGCTGTCTCCATAGAAGAAGGGACACTAACCCCAGAATACGGAGGTGTGTACCCAGGATCCCCACAGAGCCAGTGCTGAGGGCAGGGGTTGCTTCCCTTCTGTCTCATACAGTCCCACCTCAACCCTGGAGCTCCTGGGCTGGCTCAGCACAACTGGTCTCTTCCTCTGATTCTACTGCTCCTGCATACGTCTCTAGAAGTGTCCCCACAGCAGCTCTTACTAAGGCTTTACTCTGGTGAGACTAAACTAAGACAGATATGAGAGAACAGAGCAATCAAATATAGGAAAAACTCCATGTAGAGAGAGTCTCTTGCTTCACCTATTGGCCTATTAGCTTAGGCAGGAACTAGTAGGTGGGAGTTCTGGCAGGGAGAGAGGATTCTGGGATAGAGTCAGACGTGGGAGGGGGTTGATTCACCCCAACTCAGAAGAAGACAGTTGTATAAAACTGAAGAGAGGTATCCAATCATGTGGTAAGACTTAGAATAAAATAAATGGGGTAAATGAGCTATGAACTAGTGGGAATGAGCCAAAGCTTTTGGCCAAGGCAAATAATTTATAATATTACTCATAATAACCCAGTTTCAGAGTTGGGGAACAAAGAGGCCAGGTAGAAAAGCCCACGGTTACAAGCAGAATCGATACTCAATAATATATCAGAAAATATGTTTTACACCAAAGCGGTGTGAGTATGGAAAACCCTATTATAGCAACTCGAAACACAAAATAGAGATATGTCTAACAAGAAGCATGGAAGAAGCTGGGTGAGGTGATATGTGCCTGTAAACACAGCTCCTGGGAGGTAGACGCAGAGAGATCAAGAGTTCAAGGTCGTTCTCCAAGACACTGCTGCAAACAAAACAATGCAAACAAAACCACACACCCACACAAAGGGGGGGGGGTCTAGGGAGAGAGTTCGAGGTAACAATACTTGCTACACCAGTATGAGGATCTGAATTTGAATCTCTAGCATTCACATAGAATGTTGGGCATCACCGCACACATCTGAAACTGTAGCACTGTGGGAATGGGAACAAGAGGACTTCTCTGGCTTGCTGGCTGCCAGTCTTACTGCCAGGTTCAGTGAGAGACTGTTCCCAAAGGAATAAAGCAGAGAGTGATAGAACAGGACATCCAACATCCTCCTTTGCCTCCACACTTGAGTGTACACACACAGAGCACACACATATTCACACCAGGTGTGAGAGTATACACTATTCCAAAAAGTCCCACAACAAATGCTCCATTCTGACTTTTAGGGGGATGGTCACTGAAGCAGACACCATCATGGGCAATCATCAGAATACTCTTGCAAGACCTCCCAGATGCAGTGAGACAGCACTGCAGAAAACTCAAGGCTTAAAGATCAGACAAAATCAGTTTGTTACATGCTTTGTTACTTACATAATTCACAGAACAAGAATCATCAAGATCATTCGTTGTTGATGCAGTTGCAGCAAGCTGAGATGGGGGCTGACAAGATGGTTCGGTAGGTAAAAGCACTTGTCAGCAAGCCTGATACTGGAACCCACAAGACACAGAGAGAATTGATTCCTGCAAGCTGTTGTCTGACCGCCACACATACACTATGAGACATGAATGAACACACGAACACACACACACATACACACACACACACACACACACACACACACACACTAAATACAATTTAATCAAATTTTTAAACAGAAAAGAAAACCAGGAGGTGGAGAGATAGCTCAGTAGTTAAGAACACTACCTGATCTTCTAGAGAACCTGGGTTCAATTCCCAGCACCCATACGGTGGTTCAAAGCTATTTTAAACTCCAGTGCACCATTTTCTGGCCTCTGTGGGAACACACGTGGTGCACAAACATATATGTAGGCAAAATACAAATCCACATACAAGAAAATATATTAATTTTAAAAAAGAAAACATATTAGAACAGAAGAATTTAAAGACTCACATATGAATTTATGAATGACTGATAAATTGTGTGAGGGGTACCCCCAGATTAGTGGGGAAACCACAGGTGACTTTTAAAATGGTCTCAGGGCAATTGACTTTCACACAGGAAAGTGACAAACCTCTGGCGTCATCAGACACAACAACATTAACTTCTCCTAGTTCCAAATGTTTGGACAATTAGTAATACGAGAATTTTGTAATCCCAGCACACAGGAGAAGGATTACTGTAAGTTCAAGGACAGGCTGGGCTACACAGTATAGCCTAGACTAAAGAGCAAGGGTTAGTCTGAGAAATAGAGAGGAAGGGAGGAAAGGTGGAAAGGTGGTGGGGTTGAGGGGAGGGAGGGAGGGAGAAGGAAAGGGAGGAGAAGGGGAAGAGAGAGAGAGAGAGAATAGAGAAAGAAAAGAGAGAGAGAGAAGAGAGAGAGAAAGAAGCTTATAGGAGAATGGTGGGGTTTGGTTGGTTGGGTTTTTGGTTTTGTTTTGTTTTGTTTTGGGGTTTTGGTTTGGTTTATTTTGGTTTTTGGTTTTTTTGAGATAGGGTTTCTTTGCATAGCCCTGGTTGTCCTGGAACTCACTTAGTAGACCAGGGTGGCCTCAAACTCACAGAGATCGGTTTGCTTCTGACTCTTGAGTGCTGGGACTGAGGGCATGTGTCACTACCACCTGGCTAGGAGCATGCTTTTAAAGCCTCCTTAGGTCGGTAGACTTTCTAATCCAGATTTCAGAGTAATCCCTTGTTCACATATATGTATACACCCAAGAGACTAATCCCTACACAGAAGGTCATGTCATATGCCCGTGTGCTCCATGAAGACTGGACACAAAAGTCTGGTGATTGTGAGTGAAATGTGGCACAGTTGTAAGTAGAATAGTCTCTACTGTTAACAAAAGCTGCGTATTCACCCAAGATGACTGCGGCTGGTGAGAAGGGTGCTAGAAGGCGTGCTAGTTAGAAGACGCTCTAGGGCCCGTGAGATGGCCCAGTGGGTAAAGGTGCTTATGTGCAAGCATGGTGCTTGGGCTCAATCCCCTGACCCCATGGAAAGTGGGAAGAAGAGAATCAGTTTTACAGAGTTGTCCTTTGACCTCCACACATATGCCTATACACACATACTATGTACACACACACATACCATGTACACACACACACCATGTACATGTAGTGGTATATTTCCTGCTATATTAAACTCAGTATTTTTGGAGGAGCTAATGTGGGAGGAGTAAGGAGAAGGAAGAGGAGGAGCTAGGACAAAGTAAGAATAGAGAGAGGGGAAAATGGCGGTGGATGTACGCGTGTCTCCAGCAGGCTAAGGTAGCTGTAATATCTAGGTTAGGTATTGGGTAACACCTCTAATTGTGTGGGCTTCTTGTTATTTGAGCATTATCAAATACATAAAGCTATTGGATAATCTTCAAACATTAGAGTCTCATTTCTACGGGGTACTGCGTGGATGGTGGGATGGTCTGGGCTCAGCCCAGCCTTGTGGAGACAGCGTGGGAGATTGGCGGCGCCATCTCCCACACTGGTGTCTCGTGAGTGCCAGGGCTGGTGTTTCTGGCTGGCTGTTTCTAGCTGTGGCATGCCTGTGGCCTCTGGCCACTTCCAGCTGTGGAGCACTTGGCTTCAGGCCACAGAACATGGTGGCTTGAGCTAGGCAGAGCCACCACCACTTAGATGGTCGGCCTGCACAGCCCCTTTTATTAAATATTAACAGTAACATGTACACACACACACACATGCACATGCACACACACATGCTCAGTAATGATAATAAATATTCTTAAAACATTATTTAAAGAATATTTCGGTATCCAACTATCTAGTTTCCTTTAGAAACAATGAAAAGGGTAAGATGATCCAATGGGTAGTTCAGTTCCTGTACCTTGTACAGAGATAGAAGGAAAGAACCAACTCTACAAAGTTATCTTCTGAACTCTGCACATGCACCATGGCACACATATTCTAGTAATAGTAAACTAAATTCATTTTTTTAAAGGAGCAGTACAGGTGTAGGCCTGCTAATGGCAGGGTTCTGTGGATGAAACCACTGTCTTCAAGACAAAATTTTGCTTAACAAGATCAGTTTGCTTAACAGGAAAGGAAACCAACTTCAAAAAATGTGATTCTAAAACACAGTATTTTATGCC